ATAACAGAGTGCGATAATACTTGGTGGCAACGATTTGAAAAGTGAAACGCCATTTATCGTGAAACGTCACAAAATGGCAAAACTAAATTAATAGCCCCTCTGAGCTAAAACTTATTTTTAAAAGTATCACACTAGTAGTAGTACAACTACTGAAAAAAATATTATAAATCTATTTTATAGTTTTATAATTATTATTATTTTAAATTTTTATTTTACAGTAGTGTGAATTTCGCGTAATAATGAACGACATTTTTGTGTTCACAGTATTATTCGTAAGGTATTCAACTGTTAGATTTTAAAGTAAACGTAATTCTGCTGTACATAAATCGAGTAGATGCTTATCGGGTGTCTATATTTGTATTAAATGAAGAAGGTTTATGTGCTTGATAAACTTTTATCTTCTACATTTTTAAAGCGTACAATTACAATTTATATCTATTAATTTCAGGAATAGTATAAACCTTTCTTTCAGTAGAAATTGCGTTCTTGTTTTCTGAATGTGGCTCCAAATACTCTTTCAGTTCATCGCAAATTAAAATAACTATAAATTTTGGCAATCTGAAATTCGCAATGAAAACATCTTCTGGCAGAGCAAAAGCATCAACATAGCTTCCATAAATTCGCCACCGATTCAGAGATCAACGACCAAATTCTTCGTTTAAATATGGAAAAAAAACAGCAACGAAAACACATACAAAGCCATTGTCTTCTTAGTACGTCAAATGCACAACTCTGATTGACAACGCGGGCAACACTTTTTTACGCGCTTTCGACAACTGCCATACTCAGAGAATATAGGATGTCGAGGCAGACCTGTTTTTCACTAGCAGCGACATCTGGCGGCCCACAACTTGCTGTCGACTCTCGTAGCGTAGAATAACCGTAAAGAGTGGAATCGTTGCGTCGTGTATACGCGACGCTGGTCCTGAACGGATTAAATTTGCGTATGGCTTTGATAGATGTTCATAATAATGCAAATTTGAAACAATGGTAAATCATACAAAGGTTAATTGCCTTAGGTGAAGGATGCCTTTGCGGAGGACTTTCTAGGAGAACTGGCTTGTATAAACGTTTCACATGGGGAAAACTCCCATACAGCCTGCCTATTCGCTTGGAATCAAACTCAGGTTGGAACTACTAATGTTCAGCGATTTTGCCGCTAGGCTGTTAGTGGGCCTCATCAGTGCTATAAGCAATAACAACAGTAAATATATGCTGCATTCTGATTCTGTAAATGTATTTAATCAGTTTCAAATACGAATGTTCGTGAACCTTTGTTGATCATAATGGTCAATAATTTTTACCTATACTGCACTCTCAATTTTAGTCTTCTGAAAATGAAAATTAGGCAAAAAAGTAACCCCACGATAGTTCAGATTTTCTCATTTTACAATACTCTGATATATACTGATACTGTGGCAAAGTATTTGCATTCCGACAAGAATATTTGTATGCAGTATTCACATGTTTGCTGAGCTGTACCCGTGCGCACTCATTATAGTGGAAGTATAAAGACTTAAACTTTTCATCACTCTACTTGCATTTGTACTTCACTGTTCCTGCTTCTTTTTGGTCGATGTTTGACACTGGCTTATTATCATGTATTCAATTCCTTGTTTTACCTTTTAAATTAATTTTATGGTTTACTAAAGACTTCGGCCTTTCTTTTAACGAACCAAGTTTGGAGTACTTGGGCGTAAGCCATCGTCACATTTAGTGACCCAAGAAGAACGCTGCAGTTATGCGTGGTCAGAGTGAAGTACTCGAAGAAGCTGAATATAAGATTCCGTGACAGTAGTATCTGTGCAAACGATTCTATTGTGGAGCTACAAAAATCAGGAATATTTCAGTGAAGGCATTTATTACTTAGTGTATCGATGTTGATAATGGATAATTGTTTCCCCAGGTTATTGTGTATTTCATAATGCAGGTAGGACTCGTTCACAGGAATTAATTTTTCTCCCATATTAATGTGCACAGTATTCATTTATGTCATGAATATTTTATATTTTCGTTGATATGCATTTTTATTTCAGTGTGTATCCGTAATACGTACAGGTTTTCTAGGGTAGTCTATATTTTGGGGCAGCCCTTGGATTATCGCCAAGTTGTTTCAGTTATGGTAACCTGAGTATTTTATGATGTATGTTTTGGAAACCCTATCATGACATGATTAGTTGTAGTGCGTTGATTGCGCTGAATTTGATTGTTGCGAGATTAATTCTCAGGGCTTATTTCTGTTTTGGCTGTCGGTTAGGAAATATGTTGCTTAATTTGTGTTTTAGGCCATAAAATGGCTGCCGGTGATAAGATTAACCTAACGTTTCTCTACGATTTGGAACGAATGGAAAAGAAAGCATTGATTAACTGGTGAGTAAATGAAAGTTTAATCGTAATTTAACGGAATGTCTTGCCTGGAACAACGATAATATCCGATTGCTGGAAGTCGTATAATTGTCTTTCTGATGATGGCTTCGTTCATCTCTCGGTAAATTATGCAGTGACATTTAAGGATTCGGAAACCAAACCTCATATCAACACTATCAAAGTTATGTGGGTTGTAATAAAAAGGGATTTTCGAAATAAATGCCACCGGCAGTATGGAGGATATTTTTGATTCTTATTTTTGTGAATTTATGTGGTGACGGCAGTATACAGATTCAAGTTCGGATAATTTTAAACAGTTTTCGAATGCTGTTAAGGAATTCTGTGTTCTACACACCGAAGACACAAATTCCTAAATAAGATAAGTCGATATTTCCTTTTTGTACTGCGCATATTAGATAACGTATTTCAATTTCTATGTTACTTATTTGTTTTATTTTGATTTAAAATGCAGTTTGTTGAGATTATTATTGTCTGTGTTTTATTGCATTATGTTTTGGATGCCATTTGACTTGGGAAGGCGTTGCATATAAACATGAATGGCGCCAAAAATAGCCAAGGGGGACCCTGAAATATATTTTTCCGGTTTTCTATCCTTTTACGTTATGTTTGAAATTAAAATTTGTAATTAGTTGTAGAAAGTTATGTCGCGTAATTAAAATTCTGTTGATGCCATTGCAGCTGAAAGTGCAGCGGCTACATGCATCGCATGTTTCGGCAAAATTACCGCCTTTTTGGAAAACAAGTCCTGCCTTATTATTTGTCAGAATGGAATCGCAGTTTTCTTTTTCCTACATACTAACAAAATTAAACCATGTTGTTGCTGCTGTAGATTGCTATACTTAATTCTGTTGGCGGTATAATTTTAAAACCTGCCGCTACTGAAAATATGATGTCCGAAAACAAAGATTGATTTCAGTACATTTCAAGATCGAAACGTCGAAAATTCATACTAATGTAAGGTTTAAATATTGGCGACCAACTCCCTTCTCAGCGGTACAGGTCGCGTTTCGACGCGTGGTCAATTCGACACGAGTCGTTTCGACGCGGGGTCAGTTCGACGCTATACTTTTTTTTTTTTTTTTTTTTTGCTTTTGTTTGACGTCATACTTTTCGTATTTTTATTTATTTTTAGAATAAGTTTCATCATCATTCAAATAAATGCGATATGCATGATATAATATCTATTATAATAGATTTTTTTGAGAAAGACACATAATTCATTTTCCCTGCTAAAACATACTCCAGAATTGGAAATGTGCTTGACGATTTTGAATGCCTAACTTGTAAGTAAACATTTGTCATATTAAGTATATAATCCCTCACTCTGAGTATGAAGTTATTGTTAACTTACCCTCCCCATCGACCGACTCTGTGTCAGAGTACTGATACCTGTATGTGTCAGATTAGGGGGGTTTATGAAATGGCTTCAGATTTGTCGTTATCTATTGCCGATTATCAACGCATGCGCATTTATTATCTTCTCTAAAGAGCCCCGTAATCTATTTGGACGCCAGTCGACATTTTTTAATTCAATGTTAGCACTAGCAGCCGTAGAAATGTCTGGAAGCGGAAAATATATGACTAAGAGAGGTAAAGAAAAGTATGAGCACGATGGATATTTATACTGTTTCGATAAATGTATAGAAAATGAAGCTAAAAAATCGTGGCGTATTTTCCGAAAACAATAAATGTAAAGGAAGAATTTACAGTGATGCAGTTTACGTGAGAATTTTTAAAACTTGTTCGCAATCATGCTCATGAAGGAAATGCAGCACGCGTGGAAGTTGTCCGCACTTTAACATCAATAAAGCGAAGGGCTGTTGAAACACAAGAAACTCCCGCAGTAATTCGCATTGAAGAAACGCAAGAGCTTCTTTTGGAGATTAGGACAGTTTCTAGAGAAACTGTAAAATATTAACTAGAAGAATAAATGATCGCTTAATTGAGGGCTTCCAAACCAGAAAATTATAAATATTACTGAAAAAATAACGAAAATTTTGTTAGCGGATGGAAAGTAGACTCAAACGTTCGTTACTGCGTTTATTAGACTGTGTGAAGAACAAGTTCGTACAATAGATATACAAGTAGTTCGGCGCTCGCAGGCGCCCTCTTGCAGGGAACAAAATCAAAATTTACATAAGGCGCGAACATGCCGCCCACCTTGAAATACTATTTCAACATTTAGTGGTTAAAATTCAGTAAATTTAAAACACAATACAATATTAAAATTATGATATAATACTTAATTTATAATACATGAATTAAAACTCAAATTGGTAATGGACACAATTTTGTAATATTTCTTTTAACCATGCCATCTGAAGTCTTAATAGTCACAACCCTAACAACACTATCAAGACCAGGATGTAACTGAGTAATTCTACCCATTTTCCATTTAGTTGGAGGTAAGTTATCCTCCTTTATGAGACACAGATCATTAACTTGAAGATTTTTAGTTGGCAAAAGCCATTTTGGTCTTTGTTGTAATCGACACAGATATTCTTTGTGCCAACGTTTCCAAAATTGTTGAACCATTTTTTGAATATGTTGCCATCTAGTGAGATGGGAAACTTCAATGTAATTTGGTTCAGGAATGCTTGTTAATGATCTACCAATAAGAAAATGACCAGGCGTTAATGCTGACAAGTCATTTGGATCATTAGACAAACTTGTTAAAGGTCGCGAATTAAGACAAGCTTCTATTTGTGTGAGAAATGTTTCAAATTCTTCATATGTCAATCTCGCCTCACCAACTACTCGTTTTAAATGGTATTTTGTTGATTTTATGCCAGCTTCCCAGAGTCCACCCATATGTGGCGCACCTGGAACGTTTAGATGCCATTTAATGCCATTATCAACCAAATATCTGCTAACATTTTGGTTATAAGTTGCAGACCTAGCAAGCCTTTCAAATTCCATCAGTTTGCGTTTTGCTCCAACAAAATTGGAACCACAATCGCTATATATATCACTGCTTTTGCCTCTGCGGGAAATGAACCTCTTAAGAGCTGCAATAAAAGCATCTGCTGAAAGATCAGTCACTAATTCTAGGTGAATAGCTCTTGTCGTAAAACAAACAAATAGAGCTATATATGCCTTGAATGACCTAGAGCCTCGACCCTTATTTGCTTTAATTTGAAAAGGACCTGCGTAATCCACTAATCCACTCCACAGCGCAAAAACGCAGGAGCAGGCAGAGCAGGCGAAACGCGACTAGACGGCAAATCGCTCATCAATTGATTAGTGACAGATGCTCTAATTTTGCAACACTTTATACATTTCCTAACTAAATCTCTGATAACAGCTCTACCATTTATGATCCAATATTGTTCTTGAATGCAAGATTGCATAAGTTGTGGACCTGCATGCAAAAGTCTTTCATGGTAATGTCTAACAATGAGATGAGTTAAAATGTGCTTCTTTGGAAGCAAAATTGGATGCCTAAAACCATATGCAAGGTTTGCATGTCGCAAGCGACCGCCCACCCTGAGAATACCTAAATTATCTAAAAATGGATTCAAAGATAAAATTTTGCTTGTACCAGATAATGATTGATTTCTGCCTAAAGTGTTAATTTCATTCTTAAATTCAACATATTGCATTAATTTAATTAACACATGCATAGCTTTAGTTAATTCACTTGTTTTTAAAAATCCACTTACCTGATCTTCTGAATTTTTACAGTTATTTACAAACCTCAGACATAATGCTACAACACGTTTAAGTTTAGTGAGAGAGGAATATTTATAAAATAAATCATGAGCGTCTGTCAAGTGACTGGCAGCAGTTGTTGACTGTAGAGCACATCTTTGCTCTGGCACAGAATCATTCAGTAGTGGTGCAGATAATGCTTGCTGAAAAGGAAATAAATTATACAATAAATCTGGACCACGTAACCACAATGAAGTAACCAGTGCAGATGATGACACACCACGGGTTGCAAGATCAGCAGGATTAGCATTTCCACTCACATGATGCCACTGGACAGGAGAGGATAAAGTCTGGATTTTTGCTACTCTGTTGGCGACGAAGGTCTTCCATCGGCTTGCATGAGATCTTATCCAGGCTAATACAATAGTGGAATCAGTATGAAAATAAACTTGCGATATAGGAGTATTTAAAGCCCTACAGGTGAAATCCATTAATTTAGTCAACAGTAATGCTCCACAAAGTTCCAATCGGGGAAGTGATATGGTTTTTAGTGGTGCAACTCTTGTTTTGGCTATCACTAACTGAACATTAATTTGTCCAGTATCTAACACAGAACGATAATAAATTGCAGCGGCGTAGGCCTTCTCTGAGGCGTCACAAAACCCGTGCAGTTGAAACTGGTTATCTGATTCAACCAACAAGAATCGTGAAATTTTGATACTTTTAATAAATAACAAATCTTCTGTAAGTTGTTTCCACTCACATTCAATATCTGGAGGAACCTTTTCATCCCACTGAAACTGATGTTTCCACAATCTTTGCATAATCAATTTATACCGAACCGTGATCGGTGCCAACCATCCAAGAGGGTCAAAGGTCTTTGCGATTATTGAAAGTAATGTTCGTTTGGTTAAGACTTCAGGATATGATGAATTGACTTTGAATAAAAACATATCTGAAGCTGGATGCCACAGGATACCTAACGTTTTTACAGTATCATCATTGTCTATGTTCAAAGAAACATTTGATAAGCACAAATCTGGATTAATTGAATTCAAGACTTCTTTGCTGTTAGAAGCCCATTTTCTTAGAATAAATCCTGCACGTGACAACATCTGATTCAATTGCATTTGTAATTCTATAGCTTCAGTAACTGAATTGGCTCCGGACATCAAATCATCAACGTAGAAGTCCCTAAGACATGTCTTGGAAGCCAAAGGAAAATTAGTTGCTTCATCTATGGCTAACTGCTGTAAACATCTTACCGCAAGGTACGAAGCTGATGATGTACCGTAAGCAATCCTAGTTAATCGAAAATCCTGAATTGGTTTATAAAGTGAATCTCGCCAGACTATTCTCTGAAAGTCTGCATCTTTTAGTATAATTTGTCTGTACATTTTCTCTATATCTGCAGTTATAGCTATTCTGTGAATTCTGAAACGAATAATTAATGTTGTCAGATCAGTCTGCAACTGTGGACCAACCATCAATTTCTCATTAAGAGAAATACCGCTAGAAGATTTTGCAGAACCATCAAATACGACTCGAAATTTATCACCATTTTTATCCGGAACTGAATGGTGCGGAAGGTAAAAACTAGAATTAGCTGGAACATCAATTTCATTTTCTGGAATCAATTCCATATGACCAAGTTGTTGATAGTCCTCCATAAATTTGTGATATTGACTGGAAAGAGATTTATTCTTAATAAATTGACGTTCAATGCTTTGTAAACGATGTACAGCAACATCCCTTGATGACCCAAGTTCATTTCCCGATCTACGAAATGGAAACTTAACAACAAATCTACCTGTTGAATCACGAGAAAAA